GACACCAACGCGAGCAAGACCAGATGAAGATGCCACACGGTCCCCGGATAAACGCACGTAGAACAAGCTTTTTCAAGTGACAGATGGAGAGCGAATTTGTAGTACTTCACCAGAGTCTTGAATACGGGTCTCGGATCGACAACAAACTTCAGTATTAAGACTTTCCAAAGACAGCCAGCCCTATCTGTTGTCCGACCTGCATGAGTGTGCGAACGTTGAAGGCAGCCAGTTTGAATGGTGCTCGTGGTTTCAGAAAGACTGCTTCAGTACTCTAATTCTATGGTAACATACAATTTTCAACCAGGCAGTGACACGAGAACGTTTAGATAGAGCCGAATTTCCACCACAGGCGAGCTTCTGTATAAGTCGAAAAATAAGGATAGACAGAGTGGGAATAAAAGGGAGTGAATAAATGATGTGGTAAATAATAATAATAATAATAATAATAATAATAATAATAATAATAATAATAATAATAATAATAATAATAATAATAATGTGAATTGTTTGACGGTAAATGGCGGCGTGAATAGAGTTTTCAGAGAATATCATCATTTTTATTATATTTGTGTGCGTAGACTCAGATACTGCCCGGGTGCCCAAACCGAAGCAGGTGGTTTTCTTAGTGGGCCACAACCCGAGCCTTCGACCTAAAGGTCTAACCCACAAGGCAGTGGAGCATCGCGAGGAGATGCAGTTCCATGGAAGCCGGTGACCAATAAATTGGTTCATACGCCATTTGTTCCTTCAGGATACTGGAGCTCATGTGCACCATTGATTTGGGATGCGGTTAAAGCGTCGGACATTCGCTTTTCGTCCTCTCATTTTCGTAAACAACACCCCTGCCACGAGAAGGCAGTGAGTAGGACTTCCCTGGCAGAGGCTGTATACGCGTGGCCGTGTGAGAGCATTTCGAGAGGGAGAGCGAACCCACCCCACTCTCGGCCATACCAGGGCATTTGGTCAGCTTAGATTAGGTAAGCTGTGATGAGATTGTTTAGTCAATCAGATATAGTCACGCTGGAAGGTATTTACGGGTAAGGGAACGTAAACTGTTAAAAAAAGATCTCCCAGAGTCAATTAGTTTACAGTAGAGACTGAGTCAGTAAATACAAAAAGTAGGTAGTCTAGGAACCTCACTTTTCAATCCTTGTGTAGCCAACACAGAAGTGAAAGGCAATAATTATAGCTTTATTCCATTGGATTCGATTTGGACTGGTATACGTAATTTCTTGATGAACACGATCCTCGGTTCTCTAAACTGTAGATATAAGAAGCTACTTATGGTTTGAATATCTCCTAATTAGGTTTCGCATTGATATGTTTGTTGATAAGCTTGTCAAGTGATCCTTCTTTGAGTATTCAAAGTTGTGTCCAGTTTCTCCTCGTGGGTGTCGCTAAACAATATACCGATTTTTCTATAACTACGCATTTATCAAATCTACTTTGTACCGCAATGGTGCAAACTTAATTTAATAGGTATATAAGTTAGCAACTGCATCTCTGAACCCAAAAGTAGATTCAACCTGTTTTTCTACATCAGTTGGCCTCCAGTTCATTAATTTACGATGACAATAATAATAAATCCTTTCAGTATTTTCTTAACTCAGATTAATGGTTCCAACAAATTAAAAAATTTACTTAATACTCAATTCGTCCTTACCACCTCATATATGATCAGGGGCTAAAAGCTTTTGTTCTATTCTACTGTATATGGCTAGAGACCAGGAGACAATGATGTACGTTATGCTTTAACTTTGGTCATAAACCTCTTAATGATGAAATTCTAATTAATGAATAACAAGTTATGGCATAAAGGTTATGCAAAATTTTACTTAAGAGAAAATGCATAATCATGGAATAGATGTAAATCTACAGAAAATAATGTATTATTTAATGAAATTAATTTCATGGACATCAACATGCCTTTCGAAGCATGAAGCAATAGTAAAGAGAAAAGTAAAAACACAGGAGGGTGAATTCGAATCGCAAAAATAACTTTTGAAATGAAATTACAAACAACGCATGGACAAACGCTTATGAAACTGCCACACTTAAACGTAACCACCTGGGCTTTGGAGAACAGATTAAAACTTGACAAGCAATCTTTCGTTCAATATGTACGTACGTTGGGTGGATGAAGTTCAAGAGATAAACATTTTACAATTAGAAGGCTAAATTTATAGAGAATCGAGTTGCAATAGATAATGCCCAGTAGAATTAAAAATAAGAATTGACCTACAAAACTAATACATTTTGTAGCTTTACCGAACTCAACTTTCTAGGACAATGGAATTTTAATAAAAGTGTCTATACCGCTTGAGCTTCTGTAAGTTATAAAAACAGGTTTATAAACAGACCAATAACGGCGAGATCATAGTTGGTGAAACCATTACCAACAGTTATAAATAAAAATATATTTGAACTTGGGTTAATTTAGTTCAATTTGGTTATTTATTCTCTGAAGAACTGGCTTACACTGAATCACGAAACGTTTGAAAATTTATCTAATAACAATCTACCCAATGCTCAATTTATTTGAAATTATCAAGTCAAACCTAAGTAATGGTACCTATCATCAACAGCGAATGACAATAAACACTACGAACAGATAGTTAGATCAATAGACGGAACACGTAGAAACGTTTAACTCTGGTTTCTTAACCATTTTACTCTTTACTTTTTACTTACTTAAGCCTGTTACTCCCACTGGAGTATAGGCCGACGACCAGCATTCTACAACCCACTATGTCCTGACCCTTTCTTTCTAGTCCTATCCAATTTTCGTTCATTCTTCTCATATGTCTCCATTTCTCGGCGTAATGTATTCTTTGGTCTTCCTCTCCTCCTTCGGCCTTCAGGATTCCATGTGAGGGCTTGTCTCATGTGTATCCTATCCACTACCAGCTCTTCTTCCTGATTTCTTCCCACACTGGTATCCGGTTTGTTCTCTCCCACAGTAGGTTGTTGCTAATAGTGTCTGGCCAACGGATTCGAAGTATTTTGCGTAGACAACTGTTAATAAACACCTGTATCTTCTGGATGATAGCTTTCGTGGTTTTCCAGGTTTCCGCCCTATACAGTAGAACTGTCTTCACATTTGTATTGGAAATTCTGACTTTGGTGTTGGTTGCCAATTGTTTTGAGTTTCAGATGTTCTTCAGTTGTAAATATGCTGCTCTTGCTTTGCCGATCCGTGCCTTCACATATGCATCAGATCCACCCTGTTCATCGATGATGCTGCCCAAATATGCAAAGGTTTGTACATCTTCCAAATCTTCTCCGTCAATTGTGATTGGATTGTTGCATTCTGTGTTGTATCGGAGAATCTTGCTTTTCCCTTTGTGTATATTGAGACCTACCGCTGCTGAGGCTGCTGCTACACTGGTTGTCTTCTCCTGCATTTGTTGTTGTGTTTGCGATAGAAGAGCCAGATCATCTGTGAAGTCTAGATCATCCAACTGCATCCTAGCTGTCTACTGTAACCCGTGTTTCCCTTCAGATGTTGACATCTTCATGACCCAGTCAACCACCAGGAGAAAGAGAAAGGGTAAGAGTAAGCAACCTTGCCCGACACCGGTCTTTACTTTGAACGACTTTGTCAACTGTCCTCCATGCACGATTTTGCAGTTTAATCCATCATAGGAATTCTGTATGATATTGACTATCTTATCAGGCACACCGTAGTGTCGAAGAAGCTTCCATAGGGTTGTTCTGTCCACGCTATCAAATGCTTTTTCGTAGTCAATGAAGTTGATATAGAGTGATGAATTCCATTCAATTGATTGTTCCACAATGATCCGTAGAGTTGCAATTTGGTCTGTGCACGATCTATCCTTACGGAATCCTGCCTGTTGGTCTCGAAGTTGGGCGTCTACGGAGTCCTTCATCCTGTTTAACAATACCCTGTTGAAGACTTTTCCTGGTATTGAGAGAAGAGTGATTCCACTGTAGTTGTCACAGTTGCTGAGATTGCCTTTCTTTGGTATTTTGACTAGAAGTCCTTCTTTCCAGTCTTTTGGTACCTGTTCCTCATCCCAGATCTTTCTGAAGAGAGTTTGGAGTATCCTTGCAGTTACCGCTACGTCTGCTTTCAGCGCCTCTGTTGGAATGCTGTCTAGTCCTGCTGCTTTGCCACTCTTGATTTGTCTGATAGTCATGCTGATTTCTTCAATTGTCGGTGCGCCAACATCAATTGGGAGGTCCGTGAGTGCTGCTTCGATGTTGGGTGGGTTCAGTGGGGCTGGTCGATTCAAGAGTTCTTTGAAGTGTTCTACCCACCTGTTTCGTTGTTCTTCAATGTTGGTGATTATCTTTCCTTCCTTGTTTTTCACTGGTCGTTCTGGTTTACGTTGATTTCCAGAGAGTTTCTTTGTTGTTTCCTACAGTTGTCTCATGTTTCCTTCTCTGGCAGCCTTTTCCGCCGTCACTGCTAAATCTTCCACATATTTACGTTTGTCAGTTCTGATGCTCCTCTTCACTTGCTTGTTTACTTCTGTGTATTCAGCTTGTGCCTTGGCTTTTTCTGCTCTTGTTCGGCTGGTATTGATTGCTGTCTTCTTGTTCCTCCTTTCTTGAATCTTATCCAGTGTATCGACAGTGATCCAATCCTTGTGATGGTGCTTCTTTTGTCCCAGAACCTCATGACATGTTGAAGTGATTTCCTCTTTTATCTCTTTCCAGTTGCTCTCCATAGTAGTAGATCATGAAAGGCCTGGAACTTATTGCTGAGGGTTATCTTGAATTTATTGAGTTTGTCATTATGCATAAGTCAACTTATTCCTTATCGTTTTTAAACCAGGACAATACAATGACAAAAGCAGCATATAAATTTATTCGAATCGGACAGTTACATCCGTTTCATATACTATATTCCAAAATTTATAACAGAAATATTTCCAGTCAATGTTCCAAACGAGAATTTTATTGCGCAATAAATATAGACTGTAGCAGTTACAGATATTGAAAATCTATAGCTACTAACATTAAAATAGTCAGCATTAAATGTACGACATTAAATTCTCGTCATTAGATTGTCGATAAGGTTGCGGTGAATCTAAAACATCAAGGAGGAGGCTTCTTCTGAACATCGGAAATACCTTTGCGAAATGCTTCTTTCACTTGGCCGATAAGACCAGTCCAATCATGTGTTTGCTTTGTAGATGAATCAAGCACTAAATAACGAGTTCGAAATTGTATAACGACTTACTTTTCTCTTTTGCTTCCAGAAACATGCGTACGGTTGTGCGAGCGACATATCTCATAGGTTTACTATCTGCTAACTTAAATTATAAATTCTCAGCAAAAAGTCAAACCTTTCGTGTCAGCTCAGGATTAGAAAAATAGGTTCTAAATATCCATGTTAGTAATGCACGAATCCCGCTTACATTAATATGCGTACCCACATCATATCTGTTCACGTGTTTCTGCCTTTGGGGTGCGACACACGTTCAGTCAGACTGTCTTAAACGCTTCGAAAACTGATACTGTCTGAAAACTAAAAAGAAAAAAGTTAATCACTCGAAAGAATAAAAACGATATTTCGAAATTCGAGCCCGAACGATAAACGTAACTATCACGTATTGATGAACCAAGCAGCTTAACAAATGACAGTTTACACCGCGTAAAATTGTTTGCTTACAATTGAAAATTTTTAAAGTATTCCAGTACCCATTTTCTGAAAGATAACCCGTTTATTTATATATTTGCACAATTAGCAGTTTAAATACAATAGCTGTTTAAAAACTCATAACCCTCATAGTGAATAAGAAACTTAAACTAAATACTACGGAACAACTTTACAGATTAGATAGCCCCTCTATCCAATCGATTCCCTTACGTCATAGATACCAGTCACAAAATCCCAGATCTCCAATGAATATTTAAAAAAAGCTCAAAATGGAGCTTCTGCTGAATTCCTGCTTCGCAAGGCCTTATCGAATGCTTGATACTACAATAAGGGAAATCGGATTAGCAAAGAGTTCTCTTTTCGGCAAATACATTTTCAAAGTTGTACAATCGCAAATATGTACTGATTTTTCAAAATGATAATATTAATAATAGGAGTAATAAAATTCTGGTAAACATGGTAACAGTGAGGTAGAATAAATGAGGGTATGGAATTTTTTACCAAAGAAACTAATAATTAGTCCCAAGTAAAACTTTATTACATTCCTCGCTATATGGATACGAAGAATTTGTAGTCTCAAGGTCAGAGACAACGAAATAAGCCTCCCTACAATAAAACTTATCGAAAACGCGTATCTATCGATATTTATCGACAAAAACATAAAACTCAAACCGTCTAAATCGCAGGTAACCTCCGTAGAAAAGAAAAAGCTTTATGATTATCGATTTCAAAAATGGTATGGATGCACACATCCTGAAAAGGAGAATTTCCGACACTCAATAGAATATTCTACGCAACAACTTTGCGAATGTTGTTCCCTAGCCGATCAATGTTCACTAATAATTTTAAGGAAAAATCTTCGCACTTGACCAATTCTGTGTGTTTATCGATTTACGTGTTTATGTGGAGCCAGGTATATAGGTCGGTCGATGCAGACTTTGTCCACAAAAACTCGACGACATTACGCAGATTGGTTGAAGAGGTGGGAATGGCTCAATAAGGAGTTCATTAGTCGAACATCTTGTGAACACATCATTAAATCAAAGCCGATTCTGTATTTATTTATTTACAAGGTGAGTAAAAAGCTGGGAAAGGCAGTTGTATTTCATCTTATTAGTACTGTCGAAGCGCTAGCTATACACCTGGAAAAATAGGAATTTTCCAAAAGAAACCGGCACAACCTTTTGTTCTACCATGGTCTTAATCGCTCATAACTCTTCACTCTCTCTATTCTTTTCTTCTTTCACAGCCATCTACTTTCGTTTTGTCTTTTCTACAGACCTTTCACCTCCAACTGATTTGTTTCTGTTTCTATGATCTTTTTGACCACAGTTCATCTCAATTTTAACATTTCATCAGATAACGCTGACCCTTCCATTCTTAATTATAATTCCCTTATCTATGTTCACGATGAATATTCAAGCTGTCAAGAGCGACATTATCATTAGCTTACTTGGTGAAACTAACGCCTTTATTTATTCTGCCTCACTGTTACCATGTTTACCAGAATTTTACTACTCCTACCATTTTAAAAAACAAGTATATATTTGCGATTGTACAACTTTGAAAATGAATTCCCCAAAGAGAGAACTCTTTGCTGAACCAATCTTCCTTGTTTTATGTCTTAATAGTATAGTCTAATTGTTCGCTATTATGCAGGTAAACAATGAATAAACCAAAACTGATCCAGTCTTATTAAGCATTACAAAAATGTTGTGTTCTTACCGGACATATCGCATTCACACAATTCCCTGGTATGGCCGAGAGTGGGGTGGGTTCGCTCTCCCTCTCGAAATACTCTCACACTACCACGCGTATACAGCCTCTGCCAGAGAAGTCCTACTCACTGCCTTCTCGTGGCGGGGGTGTTGTTTACAAAAATGAGAGGACGAAAAGCGAATGTCCGGCGCTTTAACCGGACCCCAAACCAATGGTGCACATGGGCTCCAGTATCCTGCGGGAACAAATGGCGTATGAACCAATCGTTGGTCACCGGCTCCCATGGAACTGCATCTCCTCACGATGCTCCATTGCCTTGTGGGTCAGACGTTCAGGTCGAAGGCTCGGGTTGTGGCCCCCTAAGAAAACCACCTGCTTCGGTTTGGGCACCCGGGCAGTATCACAGCCCTCACACAAATCAATTGAGATTCGTGTGGCGCATATGTACTTGGTGAGAAACGATGTCTTTTCATCGTCTCCGCCTATGCCCCGACAGATTGCAGCCCGGATGCAATCAAGGACGAGTTCTACCACCAGTTAATTGTTCTTCTCCAGAAAGTGCGCTCGACAGATATTGTAGTACTAGCTGGAGACTTGAATGCTCAGGTCGGGCGTCTAGGCACAGAAGAGAGTCGTTTAGGTGGCCGATGGGGACTCGTTGGTCGCAGAATAGATAACTGGGAACGTCTACTGCACCTATGCACAGACCACAACCTGTTTCTCGCTAGCACTAACTTTCGGCACAGTCATCGCCGATGTGCCACCTGGCGTCCCCCTTCTGCATCTCAAGCCTGGACTCAGATTGATCTTATCGCGATCAGCTACTGCTGGCGCGGTTGTGTACAAGACTGCCGCTCCTTTTGGAGTACCTATCTGGAATCTGATCATGCCCTGGTCTGCGCCAATCTTACCTTACTTTGCAGTGGACAACGAAGTGACCGCCACCACAGGATTGATGTTAGCAAGCTGGCTGCAACTTCTGTTGCTAGTAAGTACAGAACCGAGCTAGCTTCTAGGCTAGCTACCATTCCACCGAAAAGTATAGATGAGCATTGGTTGCAATTGCATGACGCCATGAAAATGGCGGGTTAAGTCAGTTGTGGGTTCGCGAAACGTCCCGCATATAAGCACTAGGTTTCTTCTGGTTCCTTACAACTCATTGAAGCCCGTCGGTCTACTCCGGGTGACCGTGAGTTTGACCACAGACAAAGGATGTTACGTAATGAAATCGAGAAAAGCTTGCGTAAGGACCGAGAAGCCTGGTGGTTGGAGCGTGCTAATGAGCTGGAAGCAGCAGCTGCATCTGGTAATTACCGGAAGCTCTTCCAACTCATCCGAGCCACTGACAGTAAGAAGTCTGGTGTGAGCGAAACAATCTGCGAGGATGACGGAACGCCAATCACTAACATCCATCGACGTCTTGGACGATGGGCAGAATTCTTCGAAGGGCAGTTCAACTGGCCTGCTGCTTCGGCAACATCGGTCAGACTGTCCTGCCCTCCATGGCCGGTGACGACTGATCCACCAAATGAGGCGGAAGTCCGCAAGGAACTCCAACTCTTGAAACGTTACAAATCACCAGGCCCAGACGACTTACCCCCGGCTCTTTTTAAAGATGGTGGTGACTTTCTGACTAAAGGACTGACGACGTTGTTTACAAAGATCTGGGAACTAGAGAGTGTACCAACGTCATGGAATGAGTCGATAGTTGTCCCTATCTTTAGAAAGGGTTCACGTTGTTCCTGTAACAACTATCGGGGGATAAGTCTACTTCCGATTGCGTCCAAGCTACTGGATTCCGTCATACTTCGTAGGTTGTTCAGAACCCGAGAAGGATTGACTCGCGAGGAGCAGGCTGGGTTTCGTTCTGGTCGAGGATGTATTGATCATATCTTCAGCCTCCGCCAAGTGTTAGAACACCGCCATACTTATCAAAGGCCAACAATCGTAGTGTTTCTTGATATCAAGGCTGCTTTCGATTCGTTGGACAGAACTGTTCTCTGGGATTGTCTATTGAAGAGGGGTGTGCCTGAGAAGTTTATTAACATCCTAAAAGCCTTATATACAAACACCTCAGGTAGAGTGAGGGCATACAACCACCTTCCTCCACTATTCCATTCAAGCAGTGGAGTTAGACAGGGTTGCCCAATCTCACCATTCCTCTTCAACTTTGCCATCGATGACATTCTGGAAACAGCTCTGACGGATGTAAGTAATGGTGGTGTGGATCTGTTGCCTGGAGAAAGACTTCTCGACCTTGAGTATGCGGATGATATTGTCTTACTGTGCGAGAATGCCCAAGCCATGCAATCCGCACTTAATCAGTTGGCAATCAGTGACCGTAGGTATGGTATGTGCTTTGAACCCTCGAAGTGCAAAGTACTTCTACAAGACTGGCAGGATTCTAATCCTCTACTCACTCTGGATGGTGAGCAGATAGAAGTAGTCGAGAAGTTCGTGTATCTGGGTAGCTGCATAAGTGCTGGTGGTGGCGTGAGTGATGAGATCAATGCACGTATAGTGAAAGCCAGAGCGTCTTATGCCAATCTGGGCCATCTTTGGCGCCTTCGTGATGTCAGTCTGGCTGTAAAAGGTCGGATCTACAACGCGACGGTGAGAGCAGTTTTGCTCTATGCTTGTGAAACCTGGCCTCTCCGAGTTGAGGATGTTAGATGACTCTCTGTGTTCGATCATCACTGTCTCCGAAGGATTGCTGGCATCCAGTGGCAACACCATGTCAGTAATGCAGAGGTTCGGCATCGAGTGATCGGTCACAGAGACGATAATGCAATTGGTGTCACCATCTTGAAACACCGACTTCGGTGGCTTCGATATATTCTACGAATGTCGTCCCAGAGAATTCCACGTCGTGCATTATTTGCCGACTCTGGGACTGGTTGGAAAAAGCGGAGAGGTGGTCAGTATATGACATGGTGTCGTGGTATGAAAGAAAGCTGCAAAGGGCTAGCTTCTGTTGGTCCTTCACGACTCCCTGGTTGGGGTCCGAGAGACGGTGTAACGCAGTGGCTAGAGACGTTATCAGATATGGCTCAGAATAGAAGCCAGTGGCGATCCTGCTGTAACCTTCTTTTACTTTCTTCATAAAAAAGTGGTTGCATCTTCCTTAACTGAAAGATCTCTTCTGATTGTACCTTTCCGTTTCCCCCACCATTGTTCTCTCTCTCTCTTTTTTTTATAATTCCCCACGCTCATTACTTTTTTTTCTTTTCTCCTCTTCAAATTATCATTGTTTTGTGTGGCGCATATATATTTGGTGCCCCCCTGTACCAATATTTATGTGTTCAAATAAATAAATAAATAAATAATGTGGAAATAAAAAGTCGGATATGAAGTGTGTTTAGGGTACACATAATTCATGTATCTGAATATTAAACGGCATTTAAACAACGAAATTAGCGAATGGATAAACTGTTTATAGTTAATCTAGTCTTTGCAAAGGACGGGAGTTACGTTAGAGATGAAATCAGGAATGTTTAGAAAGCTCCTGCATTTTGGTAATATAAACATCCACACTACATCATGGTTTCGTATCGTAGCAGTATAAAATCATAAATCGATCATGTTGCAAATAACCACGACATTTTATTTTTACAGATAATTAGCAATCATAATAACAGAACGTAAGCAAGGCGATCCAAATACCTGAGAGTTCAAAAACAACTCCCATTACAAAAAGCAGGCGTGATATAAGTATGCTGAGAAACATTAAAGTCATCGTCTACGCCCTCCTCGAATATTTTTAATCATTTGATTTCAAATGTCCGGCATCCTATTTAAATTGCATAGGTAATAATGAGCCTCCTAATATTAGGAACTACTGCTTCATTACAATTACAACATGAAAAACTTGTCTAACTTGGATGAGTGCTACTTCAGAAATGTAACGTAAGTGACTCAACACAACAATACTCGGATTCAGGATATTCTCTTTTTCCCAATCTCCCGATTTTTCGGTTTTTCTACAAAGCCTAGCGATAATCGACAGTCTTCCCCAGACTTAGAGAAATTATAGGGGCTTCGTGCAATTTCCCCTGTATTTTCTCTAGCAACTTCCCCGAAACGGACAAAATTTTCCCCGAAATCGGGAGACTGAGTTGTGCTGCTTCCTAATACGTATGGTCTGATCTTGGTCACAAAATCGTTCCACTTGATGACCGGATATATATGAACCATACCGAACTCAGCATACTGCATATTTTCTTTAATTATCAAAATTGCCTCTTTATTAAACGAAAATTGACTTTAATTCTCATAGATCACTTCAAACGTTGATCAAGGTCGAGACAATAGTGTTGTTACAGATTGACATTTATGAGCTTGCCTAGTGTTAAAGAGTGCTTACATGAATTAAACAATGACGACAACATACTGTACCTTAAAATCAGCCCGACTAAAATCTAACACAAAGTATTTCCAAACAAACTGTTAGACAGGGCATTGACCCGACGCGTAACGCCTACATTCAACAGCCTCCACGTACCTCAACAAACAATAATTTTGTAGAGAGCTAGTGAAATTCAGTCTTGATATTAATTTATAAACATTTAATGTAAAGAAGTAACGATAGTCTAGTCATTCAACTACAATAATCCCATTGGATTCTATAGTCAGCTTGGGGTTAGCATACTTTGAATACACGTGAAACAGTATAAAGTTTCAAATGGTTCAAACGGTTGTGGTCAAGGACAACCAATGCACATCAGTTGATTGAGTGTCATGGCGCATGCGGTGGTGGTCTCGCTAACTATACTGTACTCATTCTCACTAATATATTTCCTTAATAAGATCCTTTATGTTATACAGTCATCAAAGCAGCCATAGTATTTTGATACGTCGAAGGGGTATTCCACGTTTGATGTTGACTGCGAAGTACGACTTCGAAGTTAGCTGGTTCGTAATACCATTCCCGTCTGAATCCAGAAAGCCTCTAATCATTCGACGTGATCTACAGTGGTGAGTCCGACATGATCGGCGAGTCTGTTCTTTTTTTATATTTTACGTATCATTTCTTTGTTTTCATTTTTATGAATTGTCATATTTTTCGTGTTTTTGGATGCATATAAATATATATATATCTTTTCCTCGTTCATTCTTGTACTTGATATTTCGCCATGACGGAACAGACACCACAGGTATTTAATTCAAAGGCTATGACTCCACCTTCACTCAAGCTAATACTTTTTTGGCCATGCAACATCAAAGCCAAGCCGACTTCTACGAGCACGGCGTGAACGACACACGTGCACAATTCCTCTTAGTAGTAAACGCACTACCGTGCTAATTTAACTGGTACGTAACACCTAGTATGTTTACTAGTGATGATTCGAAATCTTACGAATCTTTTGAACAACCTATTCTTAAATGCGGACACCCAACCGATAGACAAAGATTATATCAATTTCTCAATAATATCGATCTGCAACACGGTTCTGCGACAGATATGTTGCTAAGAATGAGAGAGGTGATTGACCAAAGAACTTTTGATGATGCACTATTCGGTCAAACTTTCTTACCCAAACTTTCTCAACAGATGCAGCTGTGCTGGTCTCTTTTCACAATAACGCCGAAGACGAGCTGGCTGATTCTGCCGACCGCATTTCTGACATCACCAAATTTTCTGGAGTCGAAGATTTTACAGACGAAGAAAAACTTCAAGCGACACACAATGACATTACGGAACTATGTCATGCGTTGACACGTTACCTTCGACTTCGTAATGATCTTAGGCGGTCACAAACCCCACCATCTGTCTCTAGACCACGAGAGACAAATAACCCTAACTGGTACTGACATCATAATCAGTACAGAAAATATCCTCAAAATTGCGGAAAACCCTGCAGTTTTCTGCACTCAAAATCAACCAACACGAAAAACACGTTAACGACAATTGTAGCCTGCTAACACATCCGTCTGATGCTCGTCACAGATATGACAAGGACATTTCGCTACCTCATCGATACTCGCGCAGAAGTTGTCCTTCTTCCAGCAAATCCTAACGGCCAGTTTCACGAGTAGGTTTTAAACTTACAGGCTGCAAGCAATAAGACTATCGCCACATATGGTAAAAGGTACGTCCATCTTAACATGAGTTTATAAAACTCCATCTACTGGATTTTCGTTGTTGCATATTTTTCTATGCCAATCATTGGCATAGACGTGGAAACGAGTGATTATTAACACTGTTTGACTGCTTTCTGAAAGCAGTTGTTTGCAATATTGCAAATAAATATTTAATCATACCTGTTCAGTATATTCTCACGGATTATCAGATGCCTGGTACTTAGTCCCTAACCATTCTTTTTTCTGAATTGTGCACTATCTTATGCCAGAAAATGCTTTAATTGCGCAACGTGGACAGTACGGTAATAGGGATTGTTTTACTTTTGATATAATCCGTTTTCTTCATTAACTTGGAACCAAAAAAAAATTCGCCACGAATTTTGAGTATTTATATATTCAAATAAGAGTGAATCAAAAGACTTTGTGTGTTTAATCGGACATTGTAACTAAGATTGTTATAATGAGTTTGATCGGGTTCTACTCATTTAACGGAAGATGCCACAATATAAACGTTTGGTCTGGTTGATCGTAATGAATCCCTGACTGAATCATAATGAAAGGATAATGAAATTGCGCGGTTGAACAACTGGTTTCTGTTCGACTGTATCGGGTGGCTATAAACTGGAGTTTTAATTAGCGCTCAAATAATGGCTCTTCATTGAACTCCTAAAGTTTTGCATGACAAAATAGAAAAGAAATGTTGCATTTATGTATATTGTAGTACCATCCTTGTCAATAACTTCATTATTTCTGAGACATTCGTATAATGATTTATGGGTGCCACAAATATTCATGGTTTGACGCTTTTGCCTGAAACACCTTTATATTTAAGAGACAAACCTGTTATGATTTGATGTCCGGCTTACGATCACGTGACTTACACACCAATCAGAATACGGCTTATACGAATATTCGCACTATGACAAGACCAATGACGTTCAACCGGTCTGAGCAGTCTAGCGTCCTATTGGGTCCTACGTCCTTCTAACCCGTCCTCTTGAGTTCAGAACACAAAAGCAGCTTCCGAATCAACCAAATCGAACCAAATCATTTATTTCAGACATACTTGGTTTATATATCAATCAGGCAGACTACAGCGTACCATAAAATAGAAATTAACATATGTACACAAATAAGCCAAAAAGTGGCTGTGAATGTGGGAGACAGTAATTAATAAACTGAGCATAATTTAGGGACAGTAAATCGTACAATGATAAATTATAGGTCAAAGTGAAGCTTATGATAAGGGAAATATAAGTATACATAACCTAACTAATGAATAGTTATACCGTAAGAATATATAGATAATATTAGTCAATTAATGTCTCAGAAATTACTCGTGATTTAATCTTTGCTCGGATATAACAAAACCCAGTCAAATCAAAAGTCAGGAATAAACGAGTTGGAAGTTGCCGATATTTCGAGAAGCTTTTGGTCTAAACTGGCTGGTGGTTTCAAGGAATACATAGCACGACGACCCCACTACTAATTAGACGTTGATGCTTGACCGAGAATTTTCAGCCATGGTGTACCGTGTGAAACTAATAAAGTCAGCATTGGTCTCGAAGACACACAGAACTGTTCATTGTTAGGATTCGTATACCACTACAACTCACTTCCCTTCTGTGGTATAGTAATGACTTTAAGATAGAACCAGTTTAAACCCATCAAGCTTGTCGTTGGCAAGCACTCTTTTGATAAGTAGCAGTGTTCAGCAGCATCTAGTCGTCTTTCTCGTGTGTAAGGAACCATGTGGTGCGACATAATAATAAGAAACGAACAAGTGAAATTTCCACCTAACACATTCTTCGTCGGTTTTTCATCTTTTGCAGTCTTGCTGGAAAAGTAAAAAATGAAAATGTAAGTGCTTGTCGAAATATGCCCGTAATTAAGTAAAGGAGCGAAGTGTAAAACGACAATATAAAAATACTGAGAATGCAAAAAAGCGATTGTGAGACAGGAAACGCAAAACAAAATAAAACTTAGACCATTTCCTACATTCCGTAATTGTTCAAGTGGTCTAGTAACATTAATGTTCGTCCGAAGTAAGTTGTTTTCTGGTGGATATCGGATGCCAGCGAGGTTTTATTATGGTGGTTCACAATGGGGATGGTATCGTTTTCGTGACGCTTGCATCGTTTTTACTCGGAAAGGAAGTCAATATGATTATAACTTCATTGTCTGAGACTTACAGAACCATTTATTTTATCCGCTTATTTACCATTACACATTCCTGGATAAATTCTGTAAATTTGCCTGGTTGGGAAATAATTGTCAGTGGTTAATGATGCTACTGAAACAGTTTGCCATCAGTTAAACATAGCATAGCGTCACTAGTAATGACCCTGCTATGATCGGGAAGCTGCTCTGTTTGATAGATCATTTGTCTAGGGCTCAGTAATAATAAACTAACCCACGAAAGTTGGTCATACCTTGTTGAATCTCCTTGTCATCCAAAGAAGGTCAGAGAGTTTTATTTGCAGTTACTTCTCGAGAACGTACTCTGAAATGTCTTCAAATACCTAGTGGTTCTAGATCAATTTATCTAACATCACCAAACTGTTCTAAATGTACGATAACCATCAGATTTTTAAAAGAATTCAGCCAGAATAATTTTTTGCATATGTATGAAGTAAAATCATATACATAGACAGTAGTTAAAAGGTGTCGTTTATTTGCTTAGAGTGGATAACTTCAAGGACTTTACCAGGTCATAGATTCCAGGTTGTAGAGCGCAACATACAAGTTTTGTGAGCAGTAGCAGTGGTAGTCCACTCGTTTATCCCTTGAACGCTGCTCTCGTTTGTTGTCATTACCGACATACACAAAAAGAACAATCTGGAACTTTATGGACAGTATGAACAAATATTTAGTCTGTTGTTTCCAATAAGTGCTAAATGCTCAATCTCCCTAATTTGGGGACCTTTGGGTAAATTCTAGGGTTTTCTCCAAAGCTGTAAGAAATATAGTAGTGTTCTCCAAAAATTAGGGAAATGTAGGGGAAAACCCCTAAAGTTTTGGAAGATTTTGGAGAAATATCGTAGAAAACCTAAACATTTCCTCAAACATTTTGAGAATTTTCCAGGGACCTGTGAAAATTTCATGATTTCTGTACCATTTCCCTTAAATTTCTTTAACGTTTGCTGTAGCGGTTCTCCAAAACTTGGGTATGCACCGCATTAATGCTGTTGTTTCCTAACTACATTGAAAATTTAGGGTTTCTATAGATAGGAAACCCCTAGCAATTAAGTGCTGTTCAGCATTTCAATTATTTGTGAAAGATTGCTTAGGATTTTAATGAGTTAAATGTGTAATCACCCTCAAACGACACAGTGAAAGATTAAAAAAATCGGTTAGTATCTACTAACACAAAAATTATATATGGTATAAGTGAATGGTAATTATGAGCACAGAATCATTAGCTCCCACGTGTATCGAATACTACTACATTGCGTGTTATAACTAACCTCTTCTGATCGGTATTTAAGTCTACATAAAAATAAATATCTCCCTTAAAGCCATTATCAGGCTTTTCTTTTGATATAGGAAACCATATATTTGTCAACAAATGCTTTTGATACCCTTTCATAGCCTCAAAATCTAACTAACCAGGCCATATATTTTTGTTTAGTTAATATTCTTTCTCACCTAGACATATATCATCTTGAGTAATGAAATTAGCTCGTTTGTAACCTTTCCTATTCTACAGTAGAAAGTGAATTAGTTGACCATCTTGACCACTTTTCTCGAATTTATTCACCATTCCAGGCCGACTGTTAATCAAATCTTGGCAACAATTATGGTATATAATTCGAACTGCAACAGTTTGCTTGTAATTTAGACAAAACATCTATATGTTTATCGAAGGTGTAGTATACTACGCAATCGATCGTTGAATATTAATTTAAGGTTAAGAATCATTGATTAGATGTAATGTATGTATTTTCGAGTAGTTTAGAACAACTTGCGTTCAGTGAAAACAGTATGCAGAAAGTTTGCTAGTTTTTGATCACTATTTTTGCTTGTCTATCTCTACTCGCCTTGGTGCTGTCAAGTGTAGAAATTTAAACAGACAGATACGTTTGCTAGGTTTAACGTCATTTATATTTGCTTTTGTGTACAAATATCTACTTATCTGCTAGAACCCAGGTTAACTACATGAAAATAGACTTTTTGTAAATCCTTCTTGTCCTCCATGGTACGTCTTGGTCTTTTTTGCTTTCGATAGCTACAAGTAGAAATACGCATTTATAAATTTTGTTTTCAAATAGATTTTCGTACAAAATTTATGATATTTCTCTCCACATTACTAACCTGGTGCGATAGTTTGGTCATTCAAATACTAGTTCTAAGCACTAAGTCTCGGGTCCATTTACCACAACTTATACTTTCGTTTGTGAACTCGGGTAGTATCGTCACCTTTCAGAGAATATTTATCTCAAATTTAAGTGTTTAAACTTTAAATCTTTTAAATGTTATATGAACCTAATTATTTAACTTGAGAAATACATTATCCCTGTTGTAATACTACATGGTGAGCTTTATGCCCAACTTGTTACGTTATAGTTTATGGCTTTTGCATTACACTGAAGTGTTTATTCATTGTTTTTGCTGGCATCTTGTAGCAGAACTAAGTTATGATGTTAAGTGAAGTGATAGGAATCCATGTATTAGGCAATAATCACTGCTACTACACTTATACTATTTCAACATTTCTCAGTTGTTCCTACTTCAAACAAATATATGCCTCCAGACTCAGTTCTCCTGGATAGAATGTTCGCTTGATTATCTTAGTCAACAGACATATCAAAGCTGTAGTTTTTGAACTGCAACTAACGTTCATAAATCATCAGTTACTTCTTCCTGTTTATTATAGTGATTTTCTATGTAATCTCCATGCTATACTTTTCAATGTGTTAAATGCTTGAAAATATTAAAGCTTCCAGAAACTGCTAAAGGGCCTTCAAGTTCATCAAAGTGATCAAACAATCCTTTCTTGAGGAGTGATGTTATAGTAAAAGTTTTGTATATTTATGGTTGAGGTTTTTAAAATATTAAAAGTGCAGTCACCATTCTATGGCCACCTAACGACAAAGTAATGTTGAGTTTTGATGAACTAATGAACATAATGCTTTGATACATATTTTATGAAGAGTCTATATTTCTCTCTTTGATTTCACTAAAAATCAGTAGGCAACTGGAACTACTCGATATAACTTTATTTACTTCGTAGATCTCGTGTAAGGTTTTCGTTGAACTCCAGTTTTAGTCGCCCATGCTCAGATTACGATTTTATAGGTTTCCTGGTATTCTACAGTAACTGACTTTTTAAATGTGATATTTATCCATTTCCTTAATGTTACTAAATCATAATCAATGTCGTTTTAGCTGTCTCTGATTCGGTACTTTCGAATACATTGATGTTCGACTTTGTATTATGAAGATGTGCCCAAAGTGTAAATGTTCGCTAATTACTTAGAACAGTTTCACATTACCGTATTTGTGGATTTATTTTATTTCTTACTTCTTATTCTAGGACGTGAACTACCTAAAAAAACGTTTAAATTTTGTGTCTTGTGCATTTTATTTAGCTCTTATATATAAAACCCAATCAAAGACTAAAACGTTTTGTCCCAAACTGGGCTTGGAGGTGTAAGCGTGAATACTTGTACTATAGGGATTATCATAATATTTTGTATCATGTGTAGTAAGGTTGGAAACCTAACGGCTTTTTATTTTATGCTAACAATCGTTGGTTCTAGGCACTATGACAAAAAATTTGGATTCAATACTCATTATTGTCGGTCATGTTACTCACCGCTTAAGTCTTACCAAAATGACTCTTTCTGCTGATAAAACTCGGTCAATCAGTTCTGTGATCAGAAATTTATGTTTTTGGACGTTATTGGAAGCATACCAAATATCTGACTTCTTGCTATTAGGAAGTCTACATTTCCATTTACTAGTAATTTACAGAATCTTTTAATTATTCTGTAACTACTCGTTAACAGTAATTGGGCTACTCAGTTATTCTGTAGCAATAAGTAATACACGTTTGTTGAACTCGTAAATCTGCTTTGAAATTACTTTGAAAATATATTCTATACTTGTTTTTATTTATTAGATATCATATACTCTATTTACTTATGTATTATGTTTTATTTTTACTACGCTAAACTTGTTAACTTAAAGTATTTGTTCATATGTGAATTAGTCAAATATAATAAGCTAAAAACTTTATGCTTCTTTAAATGACTATGTTGTGGGTGGTTTAATTGTACAACAGTAGTATCACTAGTTTATTATATGGTTTTCAATTTTCTAACTTTTCAGAACTGGCTTCTATGACCCAATGGAGAAGCAGAAAAGTAATTATTTTAACAAAAAAGTGCATAGACGACATTTCTCAAGAAAACGAACCTTGGATCTTATGTTTCTCTTTACGTTATCTTTGATTTTTGTTATATCAACTTCATATTTAGTGTATACTAATCAGGGCCTGAGTTTAAACTCTTTTGAACATCCGCTTAATGTAGATTTGTACATGATATATGAAAATGAATTCAAAACGTTGAACAACAAGACATCGGTTAAACCCATAAATCCTGTTAAATTTAACGTTATTCTCCAACCAATACACTCTTGTAAATCGTCCAATCAATCTGATGCCTCACAAGATCTAGTTATTTTTGTCAAATCAGCGTTGCTACACTTTGAATCACGTAACAATATACGCCAATCTTGGGGTAATTCAAACTGTTTCCGTTATTTTGGAGTGCGCGCTCGAACGCTTTTTATCCTTGGTAGATCAGGTTTCGTCGATTGGGAACATTCCAGTACTCAAAGTCGGGTATTACAAGAACATATAAAGCATAATGATATAGTTCAGTTTGATTTTATTGAGGACTACCATAATGTCACGTATAAGCTGATAGCGACATTAGACTTTGCTATTAATGAATGTTTCTCTTCTCGATTTCTCACTTTGATTGACGATGATTTTATGTTGCATCCATCTAATTTGCTTCGGACACTTTCCGAAGTTACTGAAACTCAGTATTTGAACTACATAGCTGGTGATGTGTTGCGTATCTCCAAACCAATGAGGTTCCCATTCAGTAAATGGTATATATCCTTCTCAGACTATCCATACAGTTTGTATCCACCCTTTCCTACTGGCGGAACTATTATTCTTAGCATGCCTGTTGCAAAGCTTCTTTCTGTTGGTCTGAGGTATACCAAATTACTTCCTTTTGAAGATGTTGTAATCGGCCTTGTATTATATAAACTGGGTATTAGCCCCGTACATTTGAATGGTGTTCTCGCAGTTCGTCAACCAGACGATAATATTGGTGATATCATAAGTATTCATGGGTACGGTGATAGTTCTTTTTCCTTATCTAGTTGGAATAAGCTTGGTTTACAGACTGTTTGCAGCGAATAGCTTGTCTTCTTTGTTGCTTCTTTGTTATTGTTTGTATATTCAATATGTAACAGTTGGTTAACGTTATGTTAACCTTGGAGAATTTCTAGTCAACTAATATTCACTTTTTGATTTGCTGCAGTTGCTTAGTTACTAGTAAAAATGTCTCACCTAAAATTTCTCATGCTAATAATCAAACTGTTTATTTCTCAATTTGTCAAATAATTAACCACAAACTAACTGTAATGTAAATATTTATAAAACTCTCATCTTGTAAATAAGTCGTAACTACATATGTTTTATTTCAAATTAAAAGTAACTTGCTATAAAAATATTCGTAATGCTTTTTTATTTATACAGATATTGAGAAAACATACGTCTGAAAAGATTATACCCCAGTTATAGGACAAGTTCAAGAATCTGGGATGTTAGTGCACTACTAAAATTTATTGCTTCCTGATACTATTAATGGATCTTAACGGGAAAGAAAGTAGGCTATCTGAGAAAGAAATACATTTAAGTGTTAGTTGTTAAGTATTCAACCATTGATCTATCCGCCTGGTTGATTAGATCACAGCTTATGCCTTCCTAAATTTTTCTGTCTGACTGGTAACCGAGTCGAATATTGATCAAGTTAATGGGAAATAAGTGTAGGCTGTTAGATAATGGGGTAGGAGTGTACGTCTATTGACTGATGTTACTACATGGCCTAAATAATTTTATTCATGGATTAATGAACTTAAATAATTGAACCACTCCTCTGTAATTTTGTGTTTGTTAAAAAAGATGTTTGTAGAGTTGTATTTTTGATAAATAATAGCCTTTTGTGATCTTAGGCTGGATATTATTTCTATTAAAAAAGTCTGATGCTCTACCGACTGAGCCCCCAAATGTCCTGGTACGGCCGAGAGTGGGGAGAGTCCGTTTTCCCTCTCGAAATGCTCTCACATGGCCACGTGTATACAGCCTCTGCCAGGGAAGTCCTACTCACTGCCTTCTCGTGGCGGGGGTGTTGTTTACGAAAATGAGATTTATTTTTATTTTAACACATAAATATCGGTACAAGAAGGCACCAAATACATATGCGCCACACAGATCTCATTTGATATGTGTGAGGGCTGTGATACTGCCCGGGTGCCCAAACCGAAGCAGGTGGTTTTCTTAGGGGGCCACAACCCGAGCCTTCGACCTGAAGATCTGATCCACAATGCAGTGGAGCATCGTGAGGAGATTCAGTCCCATGGTAGCCGGTGACCAACGATTGGTTCATACGCCATTTGTTCCCGCAGGATACTGGAGCCCATGTGCACCATTGGTTTGGGATGCGGTTAAAGCGTCGGACATTCGCTTTTCGTCCTCTCATTTTCGTAAACAACACCCCCGCCACGAGAAGGCAGTGAGTAGGACTTCCCTGGCAGGGGCTGTATACGCGTGGCCATATGAGAGCATTTCGAGAAGGGGAGCGGACTCCCCCCACTCTCGGCCGTACCAGGGCATTTGGGGGCACGAAAATGAGAGGACGAAAAGCGAATGTCCGGCGCTTTAACCGGACCCCAAACCAATAGTGCACATGGGCTCCAGTATCCTGCGGGAACAAATGGCGTATGAACCAATTTCTTGGTCACCGGCTCCCATGGAACTGCATCTCCTCACGATGCTCCATTGCCTTGTGGGTCAGACGTTCAGGTCGAAGGCTCGGGTTGTGGCCCCCTAAGAAAACCACCTGCTTCGGTTTGGGCACCCGGGCAGTATCACAGCCCTCACACAAATCAATTGAGATTCGTGTGGCGCATATGTACTTGGTGCCTCCTTATACCTATACCTGTGTGTTAAAATAAATAAATATTATTTCTATAACTTAGCAAAACATAGTTTACTTGGGGCGAAATTCTTTTTTTGTCGCCAATTCTTACCGTTGAGTAATGAATGACTGATGTGGTGTTTTTTTTCTAGATAGTTCGCATTGTCTGAAATGTAGTTTCATTCGCTTGTTTCTCTACGTATAAAGTTTGTTAACATATAATCGTTTAATCAGTAATCGGTTTGACTATCACTTCTTTCTGAACCCAGTAGTTTTGTAGTTATGAAGTAGTTTCATTTGATATGCCCAGATTCTCTTGTTCACATATGTAATGTCATTGACAGGTATGATCTGTGATAAATTTACAAAGAACGTTTTTCATAAGCAACAAATGGATAGCAATATATACAATCTCAAAGTTTTCGAAATATTGTCTTGTAATAACTTTTCGTACTAAACGACTGTGAAAAAGACATTGCACGTCATTCTTGTGGTTGTAAATACGTACCGGATGGTAGCTGATTGTGTTGAAAATAAGCGAAATCATGTCCTCTCTAAAATGAACACAGTCTTTGATAGTCGAAAATTAATAAGATAGGGTTGATACTGGGTCTGAAGCTGCTCTAGAGTTGCCGTTAGTTTCAAGCTCGCGGAAAAGAAGAGATTTGGTTGTAGGGTTAGTAATTCCGCATCATATATAAAGCTTTCCCAAAGAAAGCACAGCAGTCAAAACGATCACTCGAACTTCGTCCTAAGAGTTAACGAGTCTCCGTGTAGAAGACATGATGTCGCATAATAAAAGCCGAAATTCTTCCGAAGTCATAGAGCTGATAGTTTTTCTGGAAACCAAGGCAATAATTAATTTAGTTATAGTGAATGCTTGAAAAATGTGGGGTACCAGTACGACCATTCAAATAGCGGCTAAATTAGGAAGATAGTCTGGGAGTGCTTGGAATAAGTGAAACGCATTGGGCACAATCTGGACAAAGATGCTAACTTCAGGAGAGCTGTTATTATACTCTAGTCGTGAAGAAGAAAATATCCGACACATAGATAGGGTTTACTAATGATGCTGTTCAACGAAGTGCGAGAAAGTACTTATAGAATAGGAAACTCATAATTCCTGGGTGATAAATCCATTTTGGAGTACAAATAAGGACTGAATATTATTCAGTGCTTTTCATTGGCCACTGATGTCTGAAGATAACAAGGGCCAATTTTATGATTGACAGCAGTCAATGTACAGGAAAACATTTGACCACCTTGATAAGGACCTGAACGTCAAGATTGAGATAAATAGCACGTCTTGTGAATAGATCATGGGATGACGTGAAATGGACAAAAAAGATGAGAATGGTGGGATATTGCTAGATCTATATACTTCCGACAGTGTGATTATTAGCGACATCGATTTCCTCCAAATGTGTACGAAGAACTACATGAGTTTCACCGGACCATACCATGAAAAACCAGTCCTATCCATTTGCATAAAAAAATCCCGAAATTTTATCTAAGTTAAAGACACGAAGAGAATAGACGATAGAGTTTCATACCACAATCTGATGACGGGCAAGATGAAACTGTAGCGAAAACAGCACTGGATAGGTGGCACAAAAATGTCCCTCATGACCTTCCATCGAAATGCTAGCAAACTTAGCAAAACGTCCTGAGTGTTACAATGTATACTGGGAGAAGTGGAAGCTAATGTAGCGAGCAGCTGAAAAAGGATTAAAGCAGCAATAAATTCAATATCTTGGGAAGTGATCGGCCCCAACAGATATCAGCATAAAAGTTGGACCCTTTTAGACAGCGTAGGTCAGATTCGAGAGACGAAAAACAGGAAGATGGCATTCGATAACAATAGAAATAATTGAGAGAAAGCTGAGGTATTGGCTGAATATACAGAAACAGACAGGTAAGTGGTGAAGGGTAGGTGAGAATACGTTGATGACCTGACAACTACATCATTAAAAGCTGAATGAGAAGAAAATATGAGAGAAACATATGATAAAATGAAGAAGCTTGCAACTAAATGTAGTTGATCAGAGTGATCAGTTGAGAGCAAAGAAGTAAAAGTAATCACCGATGTTCAAGAACGGTGTAACAGCTGGAAAGAGCACTTTTAATCTCTTGAATAGATCAGTAGGTTTCTAAAACCTCCAGATATGTAAGCAGTAAACACCAACCTTCCTATTATTGATTAAGCACAAACCATGGGGGAACTTAACAATAGCATCAGACAAATTAGGGTCCGTAAAAGAACACAACTAGATGACATACTAACTGAAGCACCATCATCAGATAGAGACAACTGCAAATGTACTCTGTCTTAGTCATAAGGAGTTTTAAGAAAGAACAAGTAGAAGGAGATTGGCGGAAGGGATACTTCGCAAATATACCGAAGAAATGAGATCTAAGTAAATGTGTGAACTACAGAGGCATCATACTAGTATCGATACCAAGCAAATCTCTCAGGCGGGTGTTACTGGACCGAACTCCCAACTTTGAGATCAGCAAGATGGGTTTCATAAAAATCAATCATATGCCAACAAATTAGAGACACTATTGAACAACCGATTGGATGAGACTCATCACTATACATCAATTTCCCTTATTATGAGGAAGCGCTTGACAGTGTGGATGGGAAAGCTCTATAGAATGCTCATTGATATTATAGAGTACCTCATAAGATCATCATCGTAATACAGAACTGAATTGCAATGATGTGTATGGATAGAAGTTCACAAATTCATTCTAATGGAAGATCGGTGTCAGTCAAAGCTACCTACTATTACTCTTCTTCTTCCGTTAATCGACTGGATTTTAAATAACCTTCACGTTTCGTGACGAGCACAGAATACAGTGAAAACCTTTGTTACAGCTGATAACTTAGGCCTTCCGTCCCACAAAAAACAACAAATTCAAACGAAGTCAGCCAGTGTAGCAGTGGTTTCTGTGTTAACAACACAACGGACACTAAAAATGTCACATTTTGTGCTCAAGGTTTGGAAGAGGCAAGGGGCTCTACACACCTGTTCGGTATCATCGATACACAAGGAGGATATGATAATGATGTGAAGAAATGAATCGGCAAAGGAAGGACAACACAATAACTGGAGAATATCTAGAACTAAAAAGTACTGTCACTTAAGACTGAAATCAGAATTTTCAACGTAAAAATTAAAACAGTTCTATTGTACGGAGCTGAAATTTGGGAAACTGACATCAATCATAACATATAGGTAATCACAGACAGCTACCTACGTAAGATACTGCAGATTCGTTGGCCAGATGCAATCAACAATAACCTACTGTGGCAGGAAAAAAAACCTTTTAGGAGGAAATTAGCAGAAGACATTGAAGGTAAATACAATACAATATGTGGAGACCATCAATTTGTATCACAAGAGAATCTCTAATTTACAATCATGAAAATGAAATAGGCAAACCAACGAACATGTTGCTTCATGAATTAAAGACAGTTATCAAAACCATAAATAGCATTGGACAATAACTGGAAAGGTGGACG